GTCCCTTAAAGGGATACTCCACCCCAAAATGAAAATCACTTAGCCTCATGTCGTTCCAGTGTAATTTACTTGGCAGTCAATGGGACAGTCGCACGCCTCCCGGTTTTCATCCAAAATATCTTAAATTGTGTTCCGAAGACGAACGAAGCTTTTACGGTTTTGGAACGACATGGGGGTAAGTGATTGACAAAATTTTCATTTTGGGGTGGAGTATCCCTTTAAGGCATCCATCACCCTCAGTTCATCTGAGATCAGGATGAGTTTGTTTCTTCATCAGATTTGGAGAAATGTAGCATTGCATCAGTGTCTCAGCAATGGATGCTCTGCAGTGAATGGGTGCCGTCAGAATGAGAGTCCAAACAGCTGATAAAAACATCACAATAATCCACAAATAATCCACACCACTCCAGTCCATCAGTTAACATCTGGAGAAGACGAAAGCTGAATGTTTGTAAGAAACAAATCCATTATTAAGACATTTAAACAGCCGCTTCTGGCTAAAATATGAGTCCATAATTCATAATAATGCTTCCTCCAGTGAAAAGGTCCATCTCCTGTTGTCTCTCACATCAAAATCCAAACATATCTTTATTTAGAGCTGTTTTGGACTGATCTGTGCAGATTTCTCTCCTGATTCAGACCAGACCACTTTTCACTGGAGGAAGCTTTATTATGGATTATGGACTCGTATTTAAGACAGAAGCAACGGTTTGAAGTTTACAAAATGATGGATTTGTTTAAACTAACCTGTTTAAAGCTTGTGGATTACTTACGAATCTTTGTAGATTATTGTGATGTTTTTATCAGCTGTTTGGACTCTCATTCTGACGGCACCCATTCACTGCAGAGCATCCATTGCTGAGACACTGATGCAATGCTACATTTCTCCAAACCTGATGAAGAAACAAACTCATCCTAATCTCAGATGATCTGAGGATGAGTACATTTTCAGCACATCTTCATTTGTGGCTGAACTGTCTCTTTAATGAAGAGAACACGCGTGTCTGATGCATGTGTTCAGATGAGAGAGGAAGGATCTCTGTGGTGTCAACGGTGTCATCCTGCAGTCAAATATTTTTGTACAAAGCGAGTTAAAGGAAATTTATTTAATAGATAGCTGTCTCTCGTTTAACTCCACTCTCCATTTCTTCATGTGTTATAAAATTATTCAAACTTAAATCAGTATTTCTGACTACTTCATCCCTTGTCTACAAACACAAACATGTCTTATTTCCCTGACTAGTGTTTAGCTACAACCTAAAAAAAATAACAGATAAACTTGACCTTTATCTTTAGCTGTAATGAAGATAAAGTTAATCTGAATATTTCATTGTTCCTTCCACATTGAAAAGTATGAAGTAAAATGTAACATACAAGTATATGATTCTAATAGACAGAGATTGATAGCCAACTATACTGTATACAGTATCATACTATACACAATATAATATACCAGACTTAAAATTAAGAATCCAGATTTATCAGGGGTCCGACGGTCACATCTTAAAAATTGTGATTTCCAGGCCTGACAAAGTCATTTAAATGAACATTTTGGAAAAGTAATGTATAAATACATTTCTGGAGTGAATACTAACAGCTTTATATTTTATCAGCTATCTATTTGTTTGCAATTTCTATATTATATAGATTTTTCACAGATGACTGGAGAAGTTATGGAAATGTATTGGTCAGAAGGTTTTATAGTCCTGCTCTTTATACAGTATCTAGTCGCCTGATCAAAGCAAACTTGTTTCTTGGACTCTTCTGCCCTCCAGTGGCTCCTCACACACACGCAATTCAACACCTCAATAAATACATACAAACATATGGCTGAATGTGATATAAAACAAAAAATTGATGTATATGGAATCATTTGTTGATATGCATGTGTAATAAAGTGCAACACAATCCAATATTGTGTTGGATAACAATAAAAGAGACACTCAGTGACTGTGTGCATACAGAGGTGCTTTATTGATGAACAATTTATACTGATTGAAGAGGAAATCAATATGCTGTCTTCATGCACAGACACAACCTTCATGTGCTCTGCTGGAAATCAGAGATGAAGATGCTGCAATGTGTGTTATTAGTAGGGTTGCAAAGGGGTGGAAAATTTCCGGTAAATTTCCGGAAGATCCCTGGAATATTCCAAAAAATCCTGGAATGTTTCCGAAATTTACTGGATATTTTCCACCTTTTTGAAACCCTAGTTATTAGTCACAGACACAACCTTCATGTGCTCTGCTGGAAATCAGAGATGAAGATGCTGCAATGTGTGTTATTAGTAGGGTTGCAGAGGGGTGGAAAATTTCCAAAAAATCCCTGGAATATTCCAAAAAAATCCTGGAATGTTTCCGAAATTTACTGGATATTTTCCACCTTTTTGAAACCCTAGTTATTAGTATTGTAGCTGAAGCAGATTTGCGCACACACATACTGATATACGACGCCTCCGGCTGCTGCTGCTACAGTCGTGTTGAGATGGGGCAATGCTTATAGCAGTGAATAAAAACAGTTGCACGCTAATTTCCCATAAATCTCCCGAGCTTTGGCAACGGTGGACCCGGCTCCTATAAAACAACTTCACTGAAGTCATAACACAAACAGAAAGGCGACCAGCCCAAACCGGCTGCAAAGCAAACACACACATCCAACGCTGTACTGGAGTTAGCATGGCTTCGTATGAGCTGAGCTGAACACGACTCGAAATAATCATCTGTATTTTGTTCTAGGCTTATACGTGACAGATAGCAGGTTTATAATCAAATATTTACAGAGACAGCCCTTCATTTGCTTTCCTTCAAAAATGATTAAAAGTAGAGCAAAACCGTTTGCTTTTATAGACACCGAAGAAAACAAGAAGCAGAACCGAAGACCTTCTGAAGAGTGCACACAAACACACTACTAAAGCACAATCTCTCCTCCCCTGATTAAATAAGACATAATGTGAGGACAAAATCAGCTGTTTGCATTTCTTCAAAAGATGTAATCGTTGGTCATCTTGAGCGAGGGCATGGCCTCGTTGACGTTCTGTTCGAGCCGGTGATACTCCACCCCGCGCGAGCAGAAACCGTCCCGCCAGCGGCGACTCTGAGCCAGCAGCATCAGCTGCAAACACAGAGCAGAGGTCCATCATGACGACAGATCATTCACACGATACGCCTGCCTCTGACAGAAACAACGCTCGTTTATGTGCCTTTCATCTCCTTCATTTTACATACTGCGTGATCTTATATGCATGTACAGTGGTGGCCAAAATGATTAGAACAGTAGTATATCCAGCAGCTAAACATGGTTTTAAGGCAGTTATTTCTATGTTTTAGGAAATATCAGTTTACATTTCCAAACATTCATTGTGCCATTAATTGTAATAATGCAGTGAGATGTTTGTGCTGCACACAGAGATCTGATCTGATCGTCATCAGTCTGTCTGGAGTCACATGAAGAAACAGAACAAACTGAGACAGACTCAATCCAGAAGAACTGACGCTTCAAGAAGCCTCCTGCAAAGCTCCAGTACTGTTAAAAGTTTTAGGCACTCATGTAAAAATGCTGTAAAATGAGGATGCTGTCATACACAGATTTTCTTGATCAATGAACTTCTATTAACTAAATGAAATCAACATTTGGTGTGAGCATCCTCTGTGTTTAAAGCAGCTTTTGCCCTCGGTGCACTTGAGCAGAGTTTCTCAGGAGCTTTGCAGGAGGTTTCTTGAAGCGTCAGTTCTTCTGGATTGAGTCTGTCTCAGTTTGTTCTGTTTCTTCATGTGACTCCAGACAGACTGATGATGATCAGATCACATCTCTGTGTGCAGCACAAACATTGATCATCATCAGTCTGTCTGGAGTCACATGAAGAAACAGAACAAACTGAGACAGACTCAATCCAGAAGAACTGACGCTTCAAGAAACCTCCTGCAAAGCTCCAGTACTGTTAAAAGTTTTAGGCACTTGTGTAAAAATGCTGTAAAATGAGGATGCTGTCATACACAGATTTTCTTGATCAATGAACTTCTATTAACTAACTGAAATCAACATTTGGTGTGAGCATCCTCTGTGTTTAAAGCAGCTTTTGCCCTCGGTGCACTTGAGCAGAGTTTCTCAGGAGCTTTGCAGGAGGTTTCTTGAAGCGTCAGTTCTTCTGGATTGAGTCTGTCTCAGTTTGTTCTGGTTCTTCATGTCACTCCAGACAGACTGATGATGATCAGATCAGATCTCTGTGTGCAGCACTAACATCTCACTGCATTATTACAATTAATGTCACAATGAATGTTTGGAAATGTAAACTGATATTTCCTACTGACACACTACAGCAAAACATAGAAATAACTGACTTAAAACCATTTTTTAGCTGGTGGAAATATAGTGTTCTAATCGTTTTGGACACCACTGTACATGTGAACCAGTATTGTCACGATACTAACACTTCTAACTTTGATGCAATACCCTGACATTAAAAAAAAAAAAGATATTTAACACCATTTTCGATACCACAGGGAAAAACTGCCATAGCATTATGGGAATAAAATGTGAAGAGTATCTAAGTTAGTTTACTTTAATATACTTTCTTTTTGTGAATAAAAATTGCAAATCAAAATGGCATTTAAAAACTTTTTTTTTTGCTTTGCTTGTTTGTGGGGCTGCACAATTTTGGTCAAAAATGTGTGATTATATCTCACTATGGATATAGTAATAGTTATTTATTTTTATCACCATGTCAGCATCTAAGGCTATTTTCAGTTGCAATAATACAACAATTACATAAACACTAAAGAAAAAAGACAAGAAATCGGAAAAATACGGCAGCTTAAATTACACAAGACTTTTCAAATTAACATGTGATAACAATTCTAAAATCTTCTCTGGCAAAATCTTACTAAACTAGTCCCTGAGTGAGAGTAATTCATAAAAATGTTATCTTCACTATGGATAGAAAATATCATTAAACAAATTTTTATTTAAAGAAAAAAAAAATACTGAAAAACAAAAGAAATATTACTATTGTAAAATAAAACATCAAGTATTTATGTAAGTATTTAAGAAAAATAATTATTATTTCATTTTACATTACAACTGTAAAATACTAATATTTATGGCAGTAATTTCTTCACTTTTCAAAAGATGCATCATGTCAGTTTTATGTTCTTTATTTTGACAGTAAACTGCAGAAGCCCTAAAAGCAGCACTATGTAACTTTAGGCGCTCTAGCGGTTAATAAACAGAACTGCACGCATCCCGCGGAAGAACATTCTAACCGGAGCTACTTCTCTAAGTTTATGTCTCTGGCGATTCACGCAGGTATGTGTTACTCCGCAGCGGCGACCAGGCTACAATAGTCCGAATATAAGCACTTATTATAAGAGTACCATAGTGATTCGGAATAAGACAAAAACGCAGTTTGGAAGATTAATTCATGATGTACTCGCTCATTACATACAGTTTGCACATTTTGAACACAGAAAAAGTTACATAGTGCTGCTTTAAGTGATTCTCATTATAAGTTTCTTTGGTGCATGCAAAATAATTTTTTATTTAATCGTGGCATTTCTTTACACGCCTACATTGGAAAAATGTGACTGAAATTTAAACTTGTGCAACTATCACGGTGATCTCAATAAACTGCAATTAACTATGGCGTTTACAGTGAAGCTTACCTTCCTCTTGTTGTGGTAGGTGATGTACACGATGGCCACCAGAAGGGCGATGATGACCAGATGAAAGAAGAAGTGGGAGTCTTGATCCTGGGTGTAGATGCTTGTGTCCTTGTTTTGAAGGCTGTCAGGGTCTTTCGTCACACCCCCGATGTTTTGAGGTGGCTCAGTGAAGTTTTCACCAAAATTATCACCGTCATCATCGTCGTCTCCAAAGCCCATGTCTGCTTCTGGAGACGTGCGGTCGCCCATGTAATCCGAGGTGCTGTCAGTTTTGTGAGCTGCAGGGGTGGAGATGGCGGTGGGCTTGTTTGCAGGTGTGCTGGTGGGCTCTGGTGGCTTGATAGTAGTCTGGTTTGGAGCGGTTTCGTGCAGGTCTGCGGCAGCAGTCGTAGGTGGAGCGGTGGGAGCGTCTGCTGCTATGGTGCTGATGTCGATAGCGGGAGCTTGCGTTGATTTCGTCACCTGGCCCGAGTGACTGTCTAGACGTCTGTCGTTCTGGATGCCTGTCTTCTGAGCCACACCAGCTGTGGATGAAAAACAAGCCACATTACTGTGATGCTGTTGCCGACCGCATGGCCAGTGCTTTACATTAATTACAAATTGTAGTCCATTACTGATTCCAAATTGCATGGCAAAAATTGTAGTTAGTAACGTAATCTATTACAAAATCTAATCGGACTACTTTTTGATTACTTTTAGATTTCTTTTGACCCAACTCAACTATCACATTGATTTAAATAGGATAAACTTGTACTACCGAGGTGCTGTCAGTTTTGTGAGCTGCAGGGGTGGAGACGGCGGTGGGCTTGTTTGCAGGTGTGCTGGTGGGCTCTGGTGGCTTGATAGTAGTCTGGTTTGGAGTGGTTTCGTGCAGGTCTGCGGCAGCAGCCGTAGGTGGAGCGGTGGGAGCGTCTGCTGCTATGGTGCTGATGTCGATAGCGGGAGCTTGCGTTGATTTCGTCACCTGGCCCGAGTGACTGTCTAGACGTCTGTCGTTCTGGATGCCTGTCTTCTGAGCCACACCAGCTGTGGATGAAAAACAAGCCACATTACTGTGATGCTGTTGCCGACCGCATGGCCAGTGCTTTACATTAATTACAAATTGTAGTCCATTACTGATTCCAAATTGCATGGCAAAAATTGTAGTTAGTAACGTAATCTATTACAAAATCTAATCGGACTACTTTTTGATTACTTTTAGATTTCTTTTGACCCAACTCAACTATCACATTGATTTAAATAGGATAAACTTGTACTACGTTGATATAGAAATACAAAACGGAAAGAAAGTATATTCCATTCGTTAAAAACATTACATTACGTCAAGGCTTCCCAAACCGGGATTCATGAAGGAACTGCAGGGGGTTTGTGAGTTCAATGAATAATTCCATCATAAAAATGTAAAATTAAAATAAATTATTTTAAAATAACTGAGTTTGAAAGACAAACACCTTCCAAAGACACAGTAATACATGGCTAAATAACCAACTTAGTGATTAAATAATTCAAATAAAAATTATATTTCAAAAATAAATAATATGGTGTCTTTAAAAAGTAACTGTCGTGTGATTACGAGTATTTTAAAATGTAATATAATCCAATTACAAGTACTTAATTTTTGGAATCTGATTACGTAATGCAGATTACCTGTGTTCAGTTACTACCCAGTTAATATTCACGTGAGATGTACAACTTTTGCATTTCTCTCAGACATAAAATTATACACTACATGAACAGTTGGGAACACCAATTTTTGCACGTTTACCCAATTAGTTTATTTAATCAGGAACAAACTTTAATATCATTAGGTATTATCTTTCAGAACCTAGTTTGGTTCACATAACCACTGATTGATTTCCCTGCCTCTGCTTTTGATATCCTTCTTCTGGTCAATAATTTTTCATAAGTTTTATCCCTGTTTATAATATGATATAAACAGAATTGTGAGATGTAAACGCAGTATTGTACATTACAACTCCAGTGTTTACAGAAGCTTGACAGTTGAGGAACTGACGTCACAAAAGCACGAGACTTCCGGTCTCAGAATCAACAGAAGTCTTGTGCGAGTTTTCTATGGAGTGTAACATTATGTAAACGTGCCATTTATCGTCATTTGATGAGAAAGCCGTTTGAAGAGTCGACAGTTGAGGAACTGACCACGTCACAAAAGCACGAGACTTCCGGTCTCAGAATCAACAGAAGTCTTGTGCGAGTTTTCTATGGAGTGTAACATTATGTAAACGTGCCATTTATCGTCATTTGATGAGAAAGCCGTTTGAAGAGTAACGTTAACGTTACTTTGGGATTCATTTAACTGACAGGCGAAGTTTCACAACGGAGCACGAACTCTTTTTGGCAAAAAATAAATGACACCACTGGCCGCAGGGAACAAGCTGTTAATGTTTATAGGGAAATCCTCCACTAACCTTTCGCTACAGATGTGCAGCTCACAGAAAGGATCTGTAGTGACAGAAAAACTGCGAATATTCCCATCGCTGAGTCTCTGGATCCCGTCTTCCGCGACGCCGCCATCTTCCGCGCTGACGTCATCGGCGCGCATGCTCCGTGAGGCCAACGTAGCAATTTTTAGCACCTAGCAACAAATTTAGCTGTTTTTAAAAAAGTATTTGGCAGCTTTTAGCAACTTTTGAAAAGCGACTCAAGTTATAAAAAAATAAGGCATGTATTTTTCCTCTTAGCAGTTACTACCCTGCTGAAGAAAAAGCAATAGAAACCATCACAGAAATTCTAATGGTTTCCACTACAAAAACCATTACAAATATTACAAACTATCAACTTTTAACTATTAACACCATTAAAAAATGGGTTTCTGTAGTGTGTTTTGGGTAGCAAAACACGGTGGCAAAACGGGTGGCAACCCTACCCAAAACACACTACACTGTTTAAATCTAGATTAAAGACACATCTCTTTAGCCAAGCATACTGTATTCTAAGGCTTAAAATATGGTATGCTTGGCTAAAGAGATGTGTCTTTAAAATCTAGATTTAAACAGAGAGAGTGTGTCTGAACCCCCGAACGTTTCAGGAAGGCTATTCCAGAAAAAAAAAAAAAGTACCAGAGGAGCACCAAAGGGGTTAAAGCATTTTAAATTAATTGATAAAAAACACTATTCATACTGTAATTAACATACCTCCATGCCAGCCCTGTGATTTTATCAATGGCATAAATACAATGGATATTAATTTGGTTTATAAAGCTTTTTGTGCTCTTCACAAAATTATAGCACAATTATAAACTTTTTTTTTTTTGTGAAAAGGGGAGATTTCTTTGAAAGGAAGTATGTTCAAAGCAAAGGAAGTATCCAAAGTCTTTGTGTAGGTACTTCAACCTTTTAAAAAGTTAAAACTGCACATTTATGAAAAAAATACTAGTTATTATATGCAAAAAGACAGATTTTCGGAGTAAGAAACCAAACTGCACAGTCGAGTAGTGTGGTCCAGGTTGAAATGTTTTATTCAACTGAAAGTACCCATACTGCTAAATCCACAGTATTCTAATCCTACACTGACTGCATCCACCTATTCAGATCTTTTCTGCTCTCCCCAATATCTCAGAAGCTTGTTTCCAATCTCCTTTAGTTCAGGGAGAGCTGAAAGAGTTTTGCCATCAAAGGTACAGGCAGTATGCAGCGAGAAAACAATGACGGACAAGATACACGTGTGGCTTCACTCACACAGACGAGACAAAAACACGAAACGCACCCAAAAGGCTGGTGTCTACAACTAAAGGCGTGATGGGCTGCGAGTGTCATCCGTTACATACGGGTCCTTTCCTTCAAGCTTTGCTGGGGTGAAAACCGCAGATCAGGAATGTTGTGGCCTAATATTAGTGTTGTCTGATGTAAACGTCTCCGTTTCTACCCAACGCCTTCCCAAAAATTAAATATTCTGTCATGATCAACACTGTAATAAATAACATTGAGTGTAGTGAAAATCCATTTTTCAAGCCATTTATAACTTTGCAAATGCTCTTATTTCATTCTGTGTGACCTAGTAAATACACAACTGTTGCTCTCTCTGAAGAAGTGAGCATCACTAATGCATTATTTGACTGAGTATAGTGCGCTTCCTTGGCCAGGGCATCTAAGAGAAACAAGGTGTGTGAGGATAGGTATTCAAAAAAAGAAAAATCAAGTCAGGATTATTGCAATCCTCAGCTTCCTATGCCTCGAACTCCAGACCCAAACCCAGTTTGTGGCCACCTGCGTTAACGTTCTTCCCATCCAGAAGAGCAGAAAGGGTCAGCTTAATACCTGAACCGAGAGAAGAGGGAAAAAGTTAGACAAGGAACGATCACATCCAAGAGAGCTTACTGAAAACGGCATATACACCGCTGTTCAGAAGCTTGGCATCAGTAAGACTTAATGTTTCTGAAAGGAGTCTCTTCTGCTCATCAAGGCTGCATTTATTCGATCAAAAATACAGAAAGAACAGTAATATTGAGAAATACTATTGCCATTTCAAATGGTTGTTTTCTATGTGAATATATGTTAAAATGGAATTGATTGCTGTGAGTTTCCAGCATCATTACTCCAGTCTTCAATGTCACATGATCTTCAGAAATCATTCTAATATGCTGATTTATTATCAATGTTGGAAACAGTTGTGCTGCTCAATTTTTGTGGAAACATGACATAAAATATGGTCTTAAAAATAGATTTTTAATTATTCCCAACTTTTGACCAGTCATGTACATGAAAAACTTAATTTTAAAATGCAATAATATTTCACAATATTACTGTTTTACTCTATTTATGATCAAATTAACACAGCCTTAGAGAGCAGTAGAGACTTCTTTCAAAAACATAAAAAATAATAATAATAATGAAAATAGACCGGTAATGCATGGTCTAAAATGCAACTGCCACCTTTTGCGGCGTGATTGCAAAAAAGGCAGAATATTCACTTGGAATTGCTATGTATATGCAATTGTAACTAGGGATGCACGATATTATCGGACCAATATCGGAATCGGCCGATAATGGCTTTACATGTAAATATCGGCATCGGCCCGATATGAAAAATTATGCCGATATGTCTTGCCGATAAGAGGAATACATTAACTCACATGTGCTCAGGGTGTGCTAGCGATTAGATCACGTCAACAGTGAGGCTCATTCTTGAAGCAAAGTTTTGCATGAATGGTGATTGGATTCACTGTTTTGGATCGCTGCATTTAAACTGAGAATGCATGTA